ACCTGTTCCCCGCAATTGTTTGCCTTTTTATCAAGTGTGCGTCGGAAAAGTGCTTGCTAACTTCCCCCTTGACGGAATTGATCAGATGCAAGCATTCGTGCTTAATTTTAAGAGAAATATGCAAATGGAATCAATTACTCATTCGTACGTGAGGCAGGGAAGCAATCGATTATGCTATAATATAGTGGCCTAAATTTCAGATGTTTCATTATGGTGTACGTAAGTGGAATGATTGCGCACAAATGTTTATGAAGTTGAGAGCATTGGAATTTGAACTTATTCCTTATTTTGGCAAAGCCAACAGCTTACTCAGTGTAGGGTTTCTCATAAAATGCCTGGTTTCTGTTTTATTACTGGTAGTACAATTTTACTATAGTGTATTATCCAATGGAGGATTACAATTAGAATTAATCAAATTACATGCGTGTGAGTTCGTGTTGTGATTTACCATCAAAATAGATGAAAACTAATGTCTAAATCTTGAGTAGGTTTAACTTGACAGTTAATACTCGAACTAGATGGGAATGTCAACGCTCGAGACATAATTTAAGGTTTGTTCATAGATCATATCTATAGAGATAATTAGTCGAGAATGTGAGAGCAACTTAGAGTCGGAAATCCGTCACGAATTTGTAGCTCGCGAGCCGAGCTCGACCCGGTTCGATAAGGGCTCGACTCGGCTCGTTTATTGAGAGAAACGAGCCGAGCTCGAGTTCAACTTGATGCTCGTTTAATAGACGAGCCGAGCATAGCTCGGCTCGTTTAAGCTCGACAGGCTCGAATAGTAGGAGTATTAGTGTCATTTCATTATGTATTTGATACTCTACAGGCTCGATAGGCTCGACTTCGAACTCGAAACTGCTCGAATAGTAGGGGTATTAACGTCATTTTTATTGTGTATTTGATACTCTACAGGCTCGACAAGCTCGAGCTCGAGCTCGATAAGCTCGACTCAATTTTGAACTCGAGTTCGAGCTCGAGCTCGAGTTTTCTACCGAGCATATCGAGTCGATCTCGAATAGTTTGTGAAGCTCGAATTACTAATCGAGTGAGCTCGAGCTGGCTCGATTAGGGGTTCAAGTCGAGCTCGATTATCACATGCTCGAACTCGACTCGGCTCGTTAACAGCTATAAGCTCAAATGACCAACTCTGTATTTACTTTTGCATCAAATGGACCTCTTATCTTAGACCTTTTACGCACCTTCGTGCAGCTACGACGAAACTAATAGCAAAATTCCAATTAAAATTAAAGAGAGTGCTTCGATCAAGCCTTGTAAGGAAGTTGCTAGAAGTATATCATAAACAAAAAGAGAATTAATTATCTGCAAGATTCCAAGGGGGGTTGATGACAATTGCAGCCAAATCCCCCGACGTTAAAAATTTACACTTTTTACAGTGTTGTAATTGTGCAAATAAATGAATCCTATTGCTGAGCTCTAATAAAATTTTGTGAATACCATGGGCTTGTCAAGTACTAGTAAACATCCTTTTCCAATTTCCAAAGTCAACAAGCGAACATTTAATAACTATGGGTCTAGAACCATGAGTTTTGTAGCTCAATGGTATTATATTTATTTCCCGTAAGCTTCGAGTTCGAACCATAGCCAGAGTCAAATGTTAAATGGAAAAAAAAAAAAAAAAAGAAAAAAGAGTATGATTCCATCCTACATGTGGCACGTTGTTTGGATAGAGATTATTTACTAGAATTTGTTATTTATTTTATCAACACATTTTTAATTATATTTTTATCTTATATATATCACATTAAAAGAGTGTTACAATATACATATTTTTTTACAAAATTATTCCAAATAATCTACTATCCAAACACGAGATACGAAACAAGTTATTCAATGCTTATGATGAGAGTTCATTTAAGGTTTATTTGTCAACTAATCAAACTAGTTTCAAATAATATTTTGTATTCGATAAACTTTTAAATTCAACTAGAACTTAACTCGAGGAGTATAAAAGTGAAACTTACATATAAAAAATCTAACCTACTCAGGGAAAAATCCACTTTTCGTTCCTAAATTTTGGATTAGGGACATATTTCATCCCCAAACTTTTAGATGCACTATATTTAGTACATGAATTAATTATTTTTTACCACATTTAGTCCAAAACGGTAAATTGCTTAATTTAAATTGAAAAAATCACGTGTTTGTCACGTAGCCATTAAGTAAAAACAATTTCTCAATTAAAATTAACGGCCACGTCAGCCTTCTCCATCCAAATTGAATATTTTACCGTTTTTGGATTAAACGTGACTCAAAATAATTAATTCATATACTAAATGTGGTGCGTTTAAAAGTTTGTGGACGAAATGTATGCCTAACTCAAAGTTAAGGACGAAAAATGAATTTTTTCCAACCTACTCAAACTCGACTCGAGTTTGATTTGATAAAAGCTCTTTTAAGTTCTTGATTTGATAAATAAGCAAGCCAAATTTAAATACAGTTTCAAACTCTCGGAATAATAAAATAAACTTAAGCGATAAGATACTCGATTTGATTAGACTGGTTCACATCCCTAGATAATCCCAGTGTAATGATTCACGAACCGTATCTTTCAAGTCCTAACAAATATTCTTTTGCCTAAAAAATGTACAAAAGAAATAAATATGCCCAATTCGTTTTTGGGAATAAAAACATATAGTTGACATTAGTTTCGAATAAAATTACATCAAATAGCATAGATCGCCACTTTAAGATGGGTGACGCAAATGAAAACGTCAATGGTCCATAATAATGTGCTAGGTTCCTAAAGCCGAAAGATCGGACCGATAAAGGATTGGAGGCAAAAGCCGTGAATCAAGGAGGCTACTCCACGTGGCGGCGTAGGATAGGGGTTCCCTCGCTGCCCGAGGGAGATTAGCATCTCTCCAGTCCTGTCCACGTCTATTTTAGACGTGGGCTCCACTAAGGAGCTGCGGGCGGTGCTATCCGGTGACCAACGGGCCGTACAACATACTCTTAGCGTGATTTTTCACCATTAGAAATAGCGTGATTTTGACTCTGAGAGTTGGACTGGATTTTAATGGGTTTTACAAAAGGCCCAAATTCGCTGTATGTATATCTATATCCATCCAAGTGTGGTTGTGCCGGGGGCGTTGGGGAGGTATCCTATCCCTTTCATTTGAGGACAAAGACCATCATAAAATCCTTGAACGAGGATGAGCGGAATTGGTTGGCCATTTTGGAATGAGTGGTTAGGGAAGCAACAATATGTTAAGGAAGGACATATCTCGTGATTTTGGGCAAAGAAAAGTTTAGGGCGGCAAAAGCTTTCATTCCACGACAAATTTCAAAACCTCATTATGAGCCACAATTTGTCATAGAAACATTGAAGCAAAGTAGTATCATTGTTGAGAAAGGACTTTACCGAAAGCGTATGTGTTTAGTAGCAATACTTTTCAAAGCCTTCAAGAATGCACTGCGAGTACGCTCTCAACAACCCTAATTTCATCGCCGGTGCTCGAGATTTGATTCCAGTCCAAGGGTGTCAGTCAGGATCCAAATCTAGAAAAGTCGAATGCAGGGCTTAAACTAAATGTGATTTGAGGTTGGAAATTTCGATAAATTGTGGGCATGGGATGGATCAGGATTGTTGTTTAGATATTTGGAGATTAGAAGTTCGCTTCCGTCAATTGTTTAGAAAAGTCTAAGATTTTTTAGAATCATGATTGTGGGATTTACGTATTTTGAACTTGCTAAGAACGTGCACCAGAATTTCGATTATCTCTGAGTGTTAATCTAACTTTATTATTTTTTTTCAGTGATTTCGATTGTTGAAAAAAAAGAACGTGATTCCATTGTCCTCCTGCAATTTATTGCAGGGAGAAAAGTCGTTTTGTAGCTACCACAGAATTGATAGTTGGTATAGTGTACAAGTGCTTGAAAAGTCAAATGACCTAAGCACCATACGAATGTTAAGATGGTAGACTGGCATAGGCCCATATCTAATATCTTATGGCGATCTTCATGAATCTTGCCCGATTGTAATGGGGTATGTGACGTGGCCGCATCGAAAATATTTTGCTTCATCTGAGCCTGTGGCCCAGTGTAATACTCTTTTAACTCCTCAATTAATGGTGAATGATAATGGCGAGCTATTTTCTCTCTCTTTTTGTTTTTCCGTAGGGCGACTCCAAAGGAAAAGAGCAAAGGAGAAAAAAGAATTTGAAAGTCTAACCAACAATGCCACCATAACAAGTTAATATTTTTTGACTAATTGAGTTCAATTTTGAAGATGGATTAAGATTGCAAATGAATCAAGTCAGTTCGAACTAAGGCTATAAATGAGATAAGTTGAATTGATCAAAATTCAACTCGAACTCGGTCAATATCAAGTTCGAATTAACTTGAGTCGAGATGAGTTGAATACAGAGATCGTTAGCTTGTTGAACCAGTTAGAATTTATATATTTTTAATAGTAAAATTATACACATGTCTCATATATTTTTATTATTTAATTAAAAAAATGTCAATTTTATCCATTCTGAAAAATATAAAAATTATTTTTATTTTATTTTGAATTCGACAAGGATCAAATTGGAGTTCGAACTCAAACTCAAGTTTTAGAATAAAAATCCATAAAACTCAAGCCCAAATTCGAACCTAATCAAAATTGAACCGAACTTGACTCATTTAAATCAAAACTCGATTCATGGCGTAGGACTGATGAAAGGCAAACTAAATTCCACCGTACATGTATATTCGAACCAGTTGCCGCTAACAGTTCACAAAGATATATGTTATTTGCACAAAAAGGTATTTTGAGCTCTCAAACAACCATTGAACCATCAATTATCTTCCTGTCACCATAAATTTCAATCTTTAAAAAAAAGTAGAAAAATTTAGAATATCTAAGTGTATTTAGAATATAATTTCAGTCCCCTTTTCTCCACCCAGAGAGAGAGAGAGAACAAATATAAGCAAGGAAATAAAGTTGTGCCAATTGTGCCTTTTCTTTTGTTCTTTTTGAAAGTTGGAAGGAGTTCAACAAAAATACAGGATTCTCCATAAAAAAAAAATATTGGTGTCTAGGAACAGCTTACAGCCACTGATGGTGAAGGCCAACAATGCAAAGCAGCACCAGCATGAACAGCATCCACAGTACCTGATGCAAATGGAAGCCTGGAGATATCTGCTCTGACCAAGATTATTTTCCTTGAATAAAGAAATTTATATTAGAAAAGACACATAATCATTATGAGAAATGAATTCCATAGGTATGTTTTTTTTTTTTTGGGGGGGGGGATTTACTCTTTGGGAAAGTTTTCCTCCTGGTTAATAAATTCAGAACACTGCCGCAACATAGCTTCTGAAAAGTCCAAGGCAACAACAAGAGAAAACAGTCCACTCTTGGCAAAAAGCCTGGAAAACATCCCACTTCCACAGCTGGCATCAACAATAGTTCCACCCAAGACTGGGTTAAGGTAATCCTTGATCAATTCAAACTGCAGTCAACGTTTTTACATAGTCAGTTGAGCTTAGCTGGCAACAGAAAAATTTATTGTACAGGTGAAAGTAGGAAAAGCACTATTGCCACTCAATATCTATTGTTTGTGACAATAAGCAAAATGTTCCACTTAGTAGCCAACTTCAAGTTACAAAAAGTCCACAAGATTTAAATTATCAGAGTTTGTATGCCCTGATTACACATAAACTCAACCACTGTTCCCAAAACACAATACATATTACAGCTCACTTTATGTATATATAAGAAACAATGTTCAAGATTAAGTAGCTCTTCGTTATTATGCTGTCTTAATTCCTTAAGAATCTACTCTGTTTTTTACAGAACGACGATATCTAGAATAATAGAAACATGAATTTTTTTTTTCAGGTTAAAGTTACCTGTGACCCAATGCTTCCTATGCAGCACTAATCATAAATAACAGTTGCAGTTCACTAAAAAATGAACAACTGTGCCTTAAAACTTAAAGATGCCTCATAGAAGATTTCCTGAATAATGCAGATAAACTATGATAGACAAGCTTGAAATTTACCTCTTTCTCTGGACCTGGAAAACCACCCCATATAGAAAAACTTTGTCGCCATCCTCTCTCATACAAAAAGGACACGAAAGGAAATCTGTTTCAAGAAACATAGATCCTCACAATATGTAATGATCATCACTTGATCACTCTCAAATTGCAAACTTCATTTGTGTTTCTTCATTAGTGTTATATCATGCAACAGAACATTATTTCCCAGTACCAAACTATTTACCTGATCTTAGAAGATGTTATTTTACAAAACTACCTTCAAAAGAAGCAAATCTTGGACATTAAATCGTTGCAAAAAAAAAAAAAAAAAAAAAGCAACAAAGCTATTGTTGCCAACTCAACAGCAAAAGACTGTCTATCTTCATTGACCTATTGCATCTAAATGAATTGGTTGCATGTAGTTGTTTCCATAATGAATTTTGATTTGGATCCTTGCTTTTCGAAGTTCACCTAACAAAGTGAAATACTTGGTCCCATTAGAAAAAACTGGTCACCAACAGAGTTTGACATTTAACTGTTACTATACAAAAATAGTAGCCCATACCCATTATGAATGGAATTAGGAAAACAGGTAAGCTACATAGCCTAAGGACGTCATACATCATCCTAGAATAGTGCAGTTCAATCGTCTTTGGTGCAATACCTGAAAAGCTCAGTAGAAGCTGGCATAGCTTCGCCATACCCCTTGCTACCACTAGTGATTGTCAGGTCAAGATGCGTGTCATTTCCAGAATAAGCCTTCCTGCAGGTTCGGCACCGTAAATTGGGCCGTGCCGCAGAGTCCCTAATATGATCAACAAAAAAAGAGAAAAGGATTCAATCATGATAATTTTTAACAAGGAAACAGAAAATAGCAAAAGCGTCATTCTTATATAGAAGCAAGAATGGATATGGATATCATACTTACGCAGGGAAGCTTGAATCAGCAGTGTAAATCAGAGGGGTATAGCAAATAGGACAAGCTAAAGTATTCTTGCAGCTGTCCAACTTCTTCTCATCCAGAATAGTATCCTATATGAATCAAAATTAATGCATATATTTATTAGTAAATATAGTTATCTTCAGAAGCTAATCCGATTTCATTGCCAAGAATTGACTAGCATACATTGATCATCAAGAAAGTCAATTAATCAGTTGTTGCAACGGGCCTAACAGTCTAATATTTGCTCATTTATTTACTTTACAGAGTCGCAACTCCCAAACATTTTTTGCATATGAAAATGACTATTTTCTTGATATAGTCCACTGGTTTAAGAAGTTTAATTGCTCCTCAATGACTTTCAGGTTCCATCCTCACTCTTGTCTATCCCTGTCCTTTCCCACTTATTCCTGCTAAAAGTTAACCCACACAAAAAAGAAAAGAAAAGTAAATAAATAAAAGTAACCCGCCCCGGACAAAGGAAAACAACCAAGGACATTATAAAAGGAAAAACCAGAAGGAGAGAGAGGGAGAAAGGAGATTACAGGCTTGGTTTCCACAAGAAGAGTGGAAGTAGCTCGAATTCTCGTAGCTGCGAAGGCATTTTTAATGGTTTGTGGGATGAAGCGACTGGCAGTAGTTTTGAGCAGCAAAAAGCGATCTTGTGAGTTGTTATGACTGAGGCGACTCGGCAAGAGCAGCGAAGACAAATTTCCCATACTGACCACCGTGGCCATTTCAGCCGCAAATGGTGATTGGTGAGTCTTAAACCCGGGCGAGTCGAGCTGCTGTCTGTTTCCGTGCAAAAGGACTTTCGAGACCAGAGGACAGGATTAATGTTCCCGAATTTCTGTTTTCATTTCTTTCTCCCATTTGACAGATATTTAAAAGGTTAGGTGACGTGTCCCAAGAGCTGCACCCCCAACGGCCCAACATCCACATCGTACTTGACGCAAACTGTGTGCTAGTAACACATTGGAGGGTCTGCTCGGACTTTCTAGTTTTGTCATGGGATGCTCCGGAAATGGAGGGAGGCACAATTCAAGTGACCAAATGGATTTGGATGTGGTTTACGTGTTGCTGTGTTTCATTATTGTTTTCGTAGCCTTCTGTATCTTCAAATTGATTTCTCTTTACTGCTTTCCTTCTTCAATAGAAATCCTTGCATTTTTGATGGGAGGTGATAGCCATTGAGTTACCATTTGATTGTGTTTTTAGTTAGCTAATTGGGAATCCGGTTCTTCTCCGGTTACTTCCTTCTCTATTTTTTCACAACATACAACCGGAATGCGAGACGTGTATGTGTTTCATCTATTGATAACGATTAGGACTTTTTGTCAAAAAACAAAGGGACCATGACCCTTCCTAATAAATGAAACACATGTCACGTATCCAGTTATGTATTTTAAAAATGAAAAACTCTAACTAGAACGAGACTCAATCGAAATGGAAACAGGACGGGTTTAGGGCTAAATTCCAGCTAGTCAAAAAGTTTTGAAGATCGGATCGGATCTATTGGTTTGACCGATTGAACTGTGAACCGGTCATGCCTCTAGTCCGATTCAATTAAAAAATCAAAAATTTAATTAAACCAATCAAGAACCAATTGAACTGGTAAAAATCAATGAAAATCAAGAGGTTCAACCAATTTTTATTAAGCATTTATTTTCTAAAATAAATATTTTACCTTTATTCAAAATTTTAATACTAAAATAAATAAAAAATTATTCAAACCTTTGAACCGAAGTCGAATCACAAATCGGAAGATTTTTCGGTTCACTCTTCTGTCCGAGTTTAAAACATTGCAACTAATTGGTAGGATGACCGTCACACCGTTCAAATCACTATGCTTCATTCTTTGAAGCTCATTTGTCCCAAATCAACTAAAAGCTGCAAGAGATCAGACGCACTAATTTGTTAAGGAAAAGATACAAGAAACGAAAATCAAAACAACAATTTGTGATTATAATTGGTTTGGAAGGGTTGAATTCGTATTCCTTGACTCTAAAGCTACATTTTATATAAATTTAAGTCTGATTGTACATGTCCTATAAATGCATCAAATATATGAATTTGGGATGAGGAGCTCTGAATTTAGCCCCTTCAAATTAACTTAACGCAATAAAAAATGAATTGGAACATAGCTACTCCAATTCAAAAGAAAAGGGGAGGACATTAAGTGTATGGAGCAAATCCTGAGAGTTGAGACCAAATACATTGTCTGCATCTTATATTTCCTTTACAAAGTCCCTTAATTCTAGATTCCTACATTGTCTACATAATTCCAAGATTCATCTTCCAAATCTGAAACCCCATTAACTCTAGTCATCATTCCAATTCATCGTTCACCACATGAAGGCACCAAAAAATCATTCCAATTCAAAAGAAAAGGGGACAACATTAAGTGTATGGAGCAAATCCTCAGAGTTGAAACCAAATGCATTGTCTACATCTCATATTTCCTTTACAAAATCCCTTAATTCTAGATTCCTGCATTGTTTACATAATTCCTAGATTCATCTTCCAAATCTGAAACCCTATTGACTCTAGTCCATCATTCCACCAAAAAAAATTTAAAAAAAAAAAAAAATTCCTCCAGTCCATCATTCGTTCACTACATGGAGGCAACCAATTTGCTGCCTCTAAAATTAGTCATCAAAAAAGTACTGGTAGATTCTTTCTTTATATTGAAAGTTAGCCAGGAGCCTAGCAATTGAACTCTTGAGGACTGACGGTCTAAGGTAGACATTCAACTTCTAAATTGCTCAAGTATTAGCACAAGCCTAAAATCACTAATTTGCATTATTTTGTTTATGTCACCTTTTCAAGACACCATATTTATCCACTTACTGCTCAAGGAGTCTCAAGAAGCGGTGTCTCGCTGGTTTCCGACCAATCAAACAATTATTGTTACCTCTCTCTTTTTTTTTTCTGGGCTACCCTAGAAGATGGGTGAGAACTTGTGCCCAGAACCTCTGTAATTTTAAGTTGAACCGCAATTAGTGCAATTGGTAGTCCGATTTACGATTTGAAAAACTAATAACACTTGGACATTACGTCCGGGTTAGACAAATTCACAATAAACAGTCCATCCATATACATTGCGTGGATGAAGGTTTATAACGATTTCCTAAGAAGTGCTCATTGCATCATACAAGTAGATATGGAAATCGTAGAGAACCCAATTTCCTGTTATTAAAGTCATGAAAAATACAATGTATGAAATGATTTCCTTTTATAACATGATTACCGTGCCAAGGTGCCCGTCTAGCTCAGTCGGTAGAGCGCAAGGCTCTTAACCTTGTGGTCGTGGGTTCGAGCCCCACGGTGGGCGTTCTTCAGTTTTCCGCACCTATTTTTTAGTGCTCTGTATTCCATCCCCACGTCTTTTTCGCGCCTCCTCCAACGAAACAACTCCCAAGAATCCAAAGTCCGCCGGACCTGTGCCATCACCGGATCACACTCCTCCTACGAACAAATTTTAGTTTGGTTGCTCCAAAAATTTGGGTGTCTTCCACTTCGATTACTATTACTGTGAGAGCATGTTTACAAGTTGCTTACAGGAATTCTTACATATTTTATTCATTAATATATATAATCTTCACGTTACATTATTAGCAGGATTTGAATACACGGTCTTTTATGAGAAAATAATCTACTCTTATCAATTGAATCAATTTGTGTTAGCCTCTCCTAACAACTATAAACATAATGAATGCCTAAAATTGGGACGTCTAATAACTTATCCTTCTGCTTTTCAAATTGGTCATTGTTAGCTGTTTTAGTGTAATTATGGGATAGCATGCAGCACTAGTTTGCTTTTACTATGTTAGTATGTTAAGAGGGGAAACTAAAAAGGCAACGAAAAGAAAAGAATGGATTTTATTCAAAAAATATAATAACATTTGTTTGTGTGGTTTGGATGATGCCATGATTTCATCGTTGATAATCATAGTTAGCAGTTAGCACGAGGATCAGACGTTAATGGTGTGCTTTGCTTTTTCCAACAATCCCGCCCGTGCAGATTTTGAATGATTAGATCGGAGTTTATTTTTCTAAATGATCATATGGTTATTTTTCAATATGATCATGGAACACAATCAACGACTAGGTTTCCTAGTACCAAAAAAATGACCCGGTTTCCGTCTAAAGTCAAGTGTCAAAAAAAGTTTGATTGCGGGAAATGTTGCAAAGGTTCGCGAACTATATATGAACCGCTAGCCTTTTTCTAGTTTTGCGATCCAATCTTTGGGCCTCGCGTGAATGGTCCAGCGCAGCGCGCGCTCTCACCAGTGAACCTTGAGGTCACAAGTTCGAGTCTCCGCTCCGCTGGATTCCTCCGCGCACTTAACGTGTTCGAGTCGGGTTGGGGCGCCGGGTCCGAGCCGCAGGGGATTAGTCGGGCCCCGTAAGGATTGACCCAGACACCTCTGTGTCGAAAAAAAAAAAAAAAAGATCCAATCTTTGGTAATTGACAGCTTATATGATTCATTGACTGGAATATTTTTAACTATATATTTTAGGAGTGGGAGTTACAACTGATACATTAATTAATCAAACAAATAGAATTAACCTTCAATAAGTCTCTCTTCTTTTTTCTTTTCTTTTTTCTGGTTTGTAGTGTGTGTTTCAATTTAGTTTGCATAACCGACGTGTAGTGCAGCGTCATCTCGTTCTAAATTGGTCCTTGTTAGTTGTTGACGATACTAATACATATTATTGTTAAAATATTCACTTCCGCAGAAGAAATACCGATCTAATTGCTATTGAGATTGAAACTCCAACAATTAGAAGTTCTGATTTCAAATCTTCTTTCTTCTTCTGATCTTACACCTACCCCTAAAAGAACAAAAGAAAAGACATTTTACTTCTAGCATGTACATGGAATTTAATTTATAGGGTAGCACTAGAGAAAAGATTAAAAAAAAAAGGAAAGAAAGAAAGAAAGAAAGAAATGTTGCTGTTGGTTTTTATTCAAAAACATGATAGCATTTGTTTACGTGGTTTGGATAATGCCAAGATTTCATCATTGATAATCATAGTTAACACGAGGATTAGACAAGAGCAGTGTGAGCTTTCCAATAATCCAAAGCATGCAGATTTTGTCGTTTGGAAATAATTAGGTAGGAGTTTATTTTCAGGAAAATTCAATATGATCATGGAGCACAATCAAAGGCTAGGTTCCCGTCTTCGGTGTCAAAGTTTCATCGCAGGAAATGCTCGAGTGGTCCACGGACAAGACAATGAACCATTACATTATTATCTTTTTCCCATCTAGCTGACGAGGCTCAATCTTTGGAAATTGACAGCTTACATGATTCCATAAACTATACTTCATCTTAGGAGAGGCAGTTACAACTGATGCATTAATTAATCAACTCAAAGATCATCTGAATAGTCCTTAATTAAACCATGGATTAAGGATGAGTGAGTCTTTAGTGTAGCCTTTTTGAGGAATCTTCAATTTTCCTTTTTTTTTGTTTTGGGTGGGGGGTTCGTAGTGTGTTTTCCAAGTTAGGTTTGCAGAGCCACGGGCCAAGCATCATTATAACCCACATGTAATGTTTGGTCTATACTCTTCATCCTTCCACCTTTTTTGTGCTTTTTGTTCGCTAAAATTCACCACTGTTTTGAGTGGGAATGAAATTTTTTTTTTTTTAATTAACTTTTGCATTGCAGGGCGAAAACGACGATGAAAACCCCACGTAAATCGGTTAAGACTCGAGAGAATCAACCCGGACTCTTGACTGTAGTCAAGGCAATCTCTAGTCTAAGATATAGACGCCAATTATGAAAAATTAGTGCATCAAAGTTGTATTATTATTGTTAGGATAGGAGAGCTTGGACTAATTTGGGTCGATATATCTCAACTGTTAATGGCATGTTGCACTAGCAATCATATTAGCCCCGACTCGTATTGTATTGCTAGACTAAATCTTATATATATATATATATTGAGAATTTATCATTGGATTCATGATACGTGTGTAAAAGTTAGATTTTAAATTTAAATTTTATATAATTATCATTCATCTAATGCTAATAATGTATATACTGTTACTGTAGAAAAGATTAACCCGTCTTGCCATACAGTGCATGTTCTTATCATAGACTATTCTTTTTTTTATTTGTAAACACATTTTGTGGTAGGATCTGTGTTAGGTACAAGAAAAAAGTTGCTGAAAAGACAAGAAATTAAATAGGAAACTTGGGCTACAACAATTGAATAGTACTACACGATAGACCTCAGACTAGCGTAATTACCAGTTAATAATGTGTGATCTAACTAGTACTAAACTACTAACTTGTTAAAATCTCTTGCCATTCATTCTATGTCTCCAGGGCAAAGTGGAGTATCATTTGGCACAATTTTTGTCCCTAAGACACTTTCTGAGCGTACATGGAGCTGTTTGTAATTTGAACCACCTAATTTTCAGAAGATCAAGTTAATTACTACCCTTAAACTCCTGATGTTGTTTCACTAATTTTCTATGGATGGTAGCTTCTTGAAAGTAACAAATCTATACATTTCGTCTAAGTTCCTAATGCAGGTTGTTTCGTTAGGTGAGTCCATATCAAAGTTTGGACGTTTAGTGGTCCTTTTAAGGCTTAAGCTGGTCCAAAAATATCAGATTTAGCAGACGATTTGATTGATCAGTCGCATTCTCCGTAGACAATTGTCCCCTCGATGGTATCACAGCACTCATTTGTAGCTTCCACTCGTAATTCATTATTGTTAGCCACAACCAATAATGATTTAAAATCCTTATGAGATGGGAAGTCAAGGTTCTAATCTTTAACTCTCGTCGTTTTGCTATAACGTGATTTTTCCAAATTTATACGGATGCACGTGATGCGTTCATCTAATCTGATAATAATTTAACACCCTTTGATTTTTTTTTTTTATTAGCCCAATTAGGCTTTTCCTTAGAAAAGAGTAGGAATATGTAACAATTGACAAAAGAAAAAGAATAAAGCATTTCTTTGTACATACCTGGAATTTCCATAAAGCGCTTGGGTTCTAGTAATGTTTGTTAAGTGTTACCATATGTAGAATGAAGAGCACGGCCTAACTTTTAAGAAGAGGAAAATTGTTGTCCAAATGGTTTCCTAGTCACATCAATTAATCATGATGTACCAGTATTGAGTCTTACAGCAGGGTCGATTGAATAAGAGATCTTGAAGCTTGTAGACGTTAAAAGAAATAAATTAGAAATCCAGAATCTAATAATTTATCTTGGACCACCAAGTCAGGTTTTTTAAAAAATTTTTTGGGTTTAAAATAGAAAATTATTATTTACACTTCTATTTTTATTAATCACACTTTTACCCGGCATTTTAATTATATAATTTTCATTTATTAGATTATATAATGAAACAAATGGTGGGGAGCGCAAATGATAAAAAATTAAACACAAATAACATTTTCCTGACCGTAAAACTTCAATATCTATGTCGTGAATGGAACATTATGCTTCAACAAAAACAAATAGAATGAAAAAAAAAATAGAGGATAGAATAATTGAATTTAAATGCAAAACTTCTGGTCTTGCATTTACATGTATATATATACATCACGTAAGAATTAGTACAAGTGAAATAGTAAGCAGAGAAAACCACATGTAGATCAAACCGATTTTATTTCCCTTTTTTGCTAAGTCGAGAATAAAATTTGATAAGTGAACTTATAACTTAATACAGCCACTTATTTCAAAATTATAAGCAAAAGATATTATTAATTGCATTTTCTAGGATTTTTTTGTAAAAAAAATTACTGTAGCGATTTGATGTATGTGAGGAAAAAAGGTAATAGAGAAATATGATCACAGAAAACGACGCAATTTTCTGCAAAAAATGGCTGTCCAAACAAGGCCTAAATATTCAAGAACATATCAAAGTAAAACAATAGAACAAGAGTAGTGTAGCTTCTCTTTGCTATTAAAGAAAAAGAAGATGAAGAAAAATGACCTACTAACGGCTAGTGAGAGTTTAAACTCTTTAATGACTTTATTAAGCTCAAGATTAAGGCTCCACCCAGAGCGAAAAAGTCAAAAGATTGAATTGAAGGCAAGATTTCCACCATTTCCGATGGGGCTTTTATGCAAATTGAAAATCAAAAATTTTTAAAAAACCGTTTTCTGAGTTACTGTAGAGGAGACGCAACCGGAGCCCAAGGCAAAATGAAACGAAATGTCCAACGGCTACCTTTATCCTTACGTCAGGTACCGCAAAAAAGTCTTCTATTCTCAACTCAAGGAGACTCTATCTGGTCTTCCACGTGACGTAATTGCCCTTTCACAAGAAACCTTTTTTTTTATTTTAATATTTTTGACTTTTTTTATGTTACAAATCAACATGATTTTTTTAATGCACTTACTTCTTTGGGCATCCTTCTACGTGGATAAGGTTTAATAGCAACTTAATAATCATCATACCATGTGAAGCTTTGAATATTATTAATTAATTAATCATAATTATCAGTATATGAAAAATAAGAGTCTTTGATAGGTTGACATGCACACGATCATAAGTGATGATTATTCAAGTAATTACAAGGTAAAATGTAATTATAAGTGATGATTGTTCTAGCAATTACAACATAAAGCGTAATAGCATCCAAAAATGAAAGTCGTGGAATATTTTCAATTCATCTGGACCGAACAAACTATAGAAATACCATGTACACATGAAAAAAATGTGCGCATGTAATTATTAGTGAAAATCTAATTTGTATCCGCTTGATTGAAAGTTGAGTTCATACAAAACAAAAAAAACCTTTACAGGAGAATCGCATTCCAAGCCATTAGCAAATTTTACATTAAACTATGCCAATGTTTTTGGCAAGCTGCACAGAAACGAAGCAGCTAGTGCCCATAAAAAAATTGATGCTGAGCGAATCACATGCTTAACTTTTTATTATTGCTACTGTTTACTTCCTAGAGAGGAAAAAAAAAAAAAAGGAGTGCAAATTCAAGAAGGCCAATTAGGAAATCACAGGGACAATTTGGTAAAGTAGAGTAGAAGCAAGTGGGACCTGATCTGGCGACCGACACGTGCCTGTCCCTTTAGTGCACATGCTCCCGAGTGGAAACTAAACTAAAAAGGCACCCTTCCCTTCTTCCGAGTTCTGAGGCGGAAAAGAAATTCAAAATCCCTTTCGCAAAAATTGCAAGTCACCTGACTCTACTGACTACTTCTACAGGTGGCCTCGGTGGTTAGTAGAGAGAGAAAGAAGGTTAGTTAGAGTGCCTTTTAGTCGACGCCGCGGTTTTAAAATCCCAGAAAAACAAAAGATACTCTCCTACTACTACTCTAAAATCGAATAAAATTGAAAAAAATAATAAAAAAAAAAAATTGAATACGGTCTCTCAAAGTCCCAAAGTGGTCTCTCGGACGGCCAGACACAAATACTACTACAAAATAAAGACACACAGTCACACAGTACCCAACACAGTCCCATTTCATCATCATCCTTCACTCTCTACTCCTTACTGTTTCAGGCTTTCAGCTCCAGAGAAAAGAGAAGGAGAAGAAAAATAATAATACTTAATAATCATTAGCATTAACGAAGAAGAGAACCTGGGAATCCCAGAGGGAGCAGGAGTTATAGAAACGGCAGCATTGGAATTTCAGAAGCTCAGATCCTTTTAAGAAAGAGAGAGATTGAGATTTCAAGCGAAGAAAAGACTGAAAGATTAGGTAATGGAGAGAACCACACCGGTTAGGAAGCCTCACACTTCTACAGCAGATCTGCTCACTTGGTCGGAAAATCCGCCGGAAAATTCTGCGGCACTGGGCTCCGCTTCCTCCGCTGCTCGGTCCTCCGCCCGCTCCCACCAGGTGCTCAGCTCATAAAGTTCCCCTTCTTTTTAATCTTCTTTTCAACATTTTTTTTCCTTTTTGGGCTTATTTAGAATTTCTTTTGGTGGTGTTTTTTTTTTAAAAACTTTTGGTTGCTTTGGAAAACTCCAATAGCCGTCAGATGGAATCAGAAAGGTTGTGTTTGGAGGGCAGGTGACGGATGAAGAAGTTGAAAGCTTGAATAAACGGTATAAGATCCATCCTCCGTCTTGATTCCTTGCTTCCCTTCCCATTTACTTTGTTTTATGTATTTACCTTCTACTTCTTCATTTCATTGTTTTTTTTTTAAAACAAATTTTCTTCCATACTTTTGGCGATGGGCCGCGGGGAAAGTGACCAGTGAGCAATAAATGGGGTGATAATTGGAGAAAGTGGGGAGAATTTCGTTTGGTCTGATATTTTGGCTGTATTATTTGTCACGGTCTTTACAGCATTTGTTTTCATATGTATAAAATGTCAGAACCATTCAAACATAGCATTCAAGTTTTTGGTTCTTAAAATTAATCACAATTTTGTAAACTTTAAATATTCTAAAAATCTCCTTGTTTGATCTTTTCATCATATGTACTACATTACGGGATCTCTCTCTGTCAATTGTTTGGATGATTGAACCAGAATTATTGATAACCTGATTTGAATAGTTTGAAATGTTACTGCCGATTTCCTAAATTTGAGTTATTGGAGATTGTCTGCTAATTTATAGTTTTTTCCATCGCTCGCCTCTTTTTTTCTTTTGTGCTCAAGGATTGTTGCTATTGGATCTGTGGCAAGATGATCCAAAAAATTTAATTAGTTCTTAATAGTTGGCAGGTCTTTACAATGATTAGGCTATTAGCTACCCCTAACAGAAGCAGAATATTGACCTTGAATTCCATGAGATAGCACCTAATGCAGATAATTGCAGAGCAAAACCAGATATCAATACTAATTGATGGAAGCCCACAAGAGTAGTATCTAAACTATATAGACTAACGTCTTTAAAATTTTTTCTTCGAAATAATGTAATTCATCATTTTTTTCTGAAAACTTCTATCATGGAGAAAGTTGACACCAAAAAGTGCTTAAATTCATTTCATAGCCTAGCCCTTTCTATGTTCCAGGAAGAGTACATTAATTTAGCCTTTTCTGTGTTGCAGGAAACCATGCTCAGACTATAAGTTAAAGGAAATTACAGGTAGCGGTATTTTTAAGCCAGGTGGTGAGAATGATATCCTTGAATCTGATAGTGCTGACCCAAGTGCTGCTAATAAAACTGGTTTACGCATGTACCAGGTAAACAAACTATCTTACTTATCGGTAAGACTTCTGAGTTTAACAACGAATACCTCTTGGTTATTTTGTTAACTGCTACTATTCTCAGCAAGCGGTTGCTGGAATCAGTCAAATTTCCTTTGGTGATGAAGAAACTGTCACTCCAAAGAAGCCTACTACTCTGCCTGAAGTGGCGAAGCAGCGGGAGCTAAGTGGAAACCTGGAAAGTGAATCTGAGGCAAAGCTGAAGAAGCAAATTTCAAATGCAAAGTCGAAGGAGCTTAGTGGCCATGACATCTTTGCTCCCCCTCCTGAAATTCAACCTCGACCATTGGCTGCTCGTGCACCAGCTCTAAGAGAGAGCATTACCATTGGAGAAACTGCTGCACGCAATGTAAGTGCTTTTGTCGAAGTCTGTATGGCCACTCACTACAACTATACATTGCTTCTCCTTTTGGCTCGGTCTACCTGCACAATCATATTATCGATTCATGAGAAATCAAGACCTGTTATTGGACTGCTGCAATTCATTGGTTGTACAAATACTTGAATCCAAGGACATATATTATTTGGCTATGCTCATATTGTGCCCTTAAAATTTTTAAAATGTGTTGTCTGAGTGTGTACAAGAGTCTTTTAGGACAATTAAGGCCCAAATGTTGGTCATAATGGATACAAGTTGGAAGGGCTTCACCAAACTAGGTTTTAATTGAACTGTGTGACACGAGGGCTTGCTATTCATCTAGTTATTCCATTTCTTCTTCTTTAGCTTGAAACCTCCTTTTGCTGTTCTATTTGACCTTGGATCATGTTCAGTAATTTCAATTCCCTTCTCCCCTCCTTTTCCATTACCCCATGAGCTCAAACTCCTGGTCTTGTCTATGTAGGCCACTGGAAATGCAGGCGATGAGGTATCTAATGAAGAAACAATGCTTAAAACAGCGAAAAAGATTCCAGAGAAGAAATTTGTAGAGCTGTCGGAAACAACATTTTCAAGGGAGATGCACCTCCGTCATCTGCCGAGAAGCCACTGAGTTCTGCGAAGTTGCAAGAGATGAGCGGGAGCAACATTTTTGCCGATGGAAAGGTAGAATCTCGAGATTACTTTGGCGGGGTTCGCAAGCCCCCTGGTGGTGAGAGCAGCATCGCTCTGGTGTAATGTTATTAGGTCTGACTCCATTAAATTACATTATTATTTGTGTCTTCGCCTCTCCTCTCCTAGTGGAGATTCGTCCTCAAACGGAAGACTTTGTGTTCTGGCTTTTGGTGTGGCTCAGGTTAACATGTGCTCCATAGTTATAGACGATTTGCTAATTGGGTTATATGTCCATAATCTTGTTTTCATGCTATTTGTGTCGATGAATGGTCTTGCTTGCTTTAATATATTGATGTTTTACACGTTCAGGACTGGAAGCTTATTTAGCTGTTTCTGAATGAATGATTCTTTTTGTCCTAAAACTGTGTACGTTGGCAAACATTTACAGAGCCCATGAAACTAAACTTGTAAAGGCGATACTTAGAAACTGTGTGTTAGAAATTGAAGACTTTTGAGGTTCCAAGTAAGGGCAGAGAGTAGCATAATCCCTTTATTGGAGGGCATAAATCAGGCTAAATCATTTGGCTTTTAGTGTTTCTGATTAGACTGCATTTGATTTGAAATGTAGAAGCCAGTTGATCTTGTGAGCAGATGTTATGAAACGGCTAAAGGTTGAGCGTGCATAACTTCAAGTTACAATTACTTGTGATGGATTCAGTGCCAAATCTTAAAAGCTAAATTCGATGAATGAAAAGACTTGTACTAGACTACATGTGCAGCTGTCAAGATTGTGCGTGATAAAGACTTTAAATGGATGGGCAAGTGTTTCACGAAAGGCGATCAAAGCAACTTCTACACTTTGCAAAATGACAGGAGGGACCGCAATTTATCCGGCTATCTTTTTCTTCTGGACCGCCTGTCAAAGTCTGAAAAAAGAAAGCGGGCAACTGACCTGCCTGGATGAATATTGTGCTCATTGATTGGCTTGAGTAATTCATACTACTAATGTCTACTAGTATCAGGGTTCCATGATTTGCGCTGCACCTTCCTTGTCGGGGGAGTAAAGAAAAATAACCATGCACAAGCTTTTGAGTTGCCGGGAGAGAGTTGTCCGTTTGTTTCCGTATATGCTTTTATGCGCGACAACCCAAAACAAACGCTTGTCGGAGTTGGGTTTATCCATTTCAGGCAGAAATGTACTCCGGTTTCCCCTTTATAGCTAATTCGCTTGTGCCAAACTCCGAAGGGGAGGGACGGAGGGGTTTGAAGAAATCGTAGTTTCGAAGGAAGAATTGAACACTAGCGCCCAAGAAAGCAAAGCTTTACATAATACTGGGAGTTGGAGTAGGGCTAATCAGCTGCAGTAGTCCAGTCCTGGAAGTTGGACCTCCTAGGACAGGTGAAGCCATGTTTTGCTTCGAAGCCCAGAGCCAACATTCAGTTACTCTTCGTTGCAACATTATCTTCACACCTCTTGCTGCCAACGTTAGTGCAACATTATATATTTTTACCAAGGCCCACTGATGAATCCAGTAATCTGAATTTTCTTACATCATCATCATAGTCATATATAGTAGTAGTATTATTTATCATCACGTTGTTTTACGTCATTATATCTACAATCTATCTGGTTATTTATTACATGTACTAATTATTGAGTCCGTAAATGTCTATTTCCCCCCTCCTACTCTAACGATTATGTCCATTTTTCGGCGTTTGCAATTTCACATCTTGTTGACCTCTTTAACAAGCACAGCTATACGGATTTCTAATTTTACTTTGAATCCACTTCTTATCCATTTACAAGAGTTACAGGAAAAAAAAAAGTAAAATTAAAATGTCATTATTGTCGCTTTGGTGTGGATTGTGTTTCTTAGAATTTTTTTATTAAAATTAATAAGCTTTAATTATTTTTGGAATATAATATACGCGACGTAAAAAGATAATTACAAATATGTTATACATAAATTTTAATCAATTTTTTATTTCATATCTATATCACATTATAAAAAGTGTTATAATAATATTTCAAATAAATTTTTTCTAAATAATTTTTTATTATATTCGGAGGAAATAGATTGGCTAATACGAGTTGAAAAATATAAGTGAGAGATTTCGGATCCGATAGCACTGACATGCACCTACGTTGAAAAGAAATAAAAGTAAGAGGGACACGTTTCATATCAAAAGTACAATCAAGTAATAGCACCTGCCACGTCATCCGTCAGCTTTCTCTGAGGTAGCCATAGCACACTCGCAGTAGACTCATAGTTCACTGTAAAGTTGCTTGGTCCTCAAGGAACACAAAAAAAAAAAAAAAAGTCATATTACTAGTTGGACTTTTGAATTCTTGTTTCTGAAGAGCGGGGCATAATTTCAACAATTTAAAAAAAAAATTCTAAGTATAAAAGTTGTTACTAATATATTCATTATTTTAAATAAAAGGTAATTCAAATGTAATAAGTTCGTCAGGTGCTATTTATCCTTTATTAATAGTCTAAAGTAATTTTTTTTTCTCTCGTAGTTTTTGTTCAATGGTTGAGTGTTTATTCTCATGAAAATAAAAGCGAAATGAGAAAGAGGTTAGAAAAGATGAAAAGTTAAAAGCCGATTGGATGAATTTAATTTTCACTACAACTCGAACAATTTTCCATCGTGACATAACATCAACCTCTTTATCAATTTCAATTGTGGGTTGAAACTTGAAAGTGGCAGACGATTGCATTTCATTATCTATCGAGCAAATTATATTGGACGATTTCCAGCTAACTCATCAATAATATTGGCTTTGTGTTTTCTACCACTACAGAAAAAAAAGTAGTATCGTAATGTAATGTGCATATACTTTAGATGAAAAATATGAATGATATTCCACTTTAAAATAACTTTTTAAATTTTTGTCTTTCTTCATGTAAAATTAATATTAGTTTACTTGTGCCAAAAGCTATTTTTTCAAATGCAAATATAAATTACCACCAAAAAAAATTGTGAGCGTATATTAAAATATTACTTGACACTTGTTAGTTAATAGAATTTGTAAAACTAGCTTTTTTTTTTTTTTGGTATTTTAGTAGGAATATTTTACAACTTCGTTAGCCCTCCCCTTCATCACTTGGTCATTGTAATCATATCTATACTTTTTAGTAAAAAAAAAAAATTTTTAAAACTCAAATCTGATTAATTTTTTTGGTGGATTTTTTTTTTTGCAGGATCCGAATTACTTTTGGTCGGTACGGGCTGGTCACTTCTGGCTAGTATCATTAAAATTCCAGCCAGCCATGTCAGACACACATATGATATTAGGGTCGTAGCCGTCTCGGATACTTATTTCTCATGCGGATCTTTCCCTTCCATTACTTTCTTTCTCTTTCAGAACTGATCTTGTAAATCAATATGCTACATTTTTAATAAAAGGGACAGACAACAGCACAAGTAATTAAACCAATTACTTAAAAGGTCCAGTCATTTCTACTTCGGCATGGGCAACAATCAGCCTATCCAATGTTTGTAGACCTCGCCCCGACTCACATGTTCAACCCGACTTTCCTCGGTCTCTTATAAATGAACCACTAGAAGTAGAAAGAGCGGTTAGTTCAGTTGGTAATACGGCCGAGTTACTTTCTCAATAAACACTGTGTGTTCGAGTTTTATTATTAATGTGATGACTGCGCCTTAGTGAGCGATTCATAAAAATTTCTATAAATGACACATGAGACAAGCTAAAATCAAACTCACCTACTTTTTTTTTTTTTTACCCAAAAATAAGAGGAGGAGCAATTGCAACAATAGTCATCATATGATATTATTTTGTGCTTCAATTTTGATCGAAGGTTAACAATTATGGTTGATTGTTAGAACAATTGTACAAGTGGCTGATATATACATGTATATATGTATGTATATTAGTATATGTCTTATATAAGAGGATAGGGCCTCCAAAGATCTATTTCAAATCAGTTTGCTCCTACGTATAAATAAAAGTGGGTCTACTGTATAAAAAAAATTTACGTACGATATAAACAAGTTGAAATATTGTGTAAAAAAATTTAAAACTATTGTTCTACTTGAGGACTAAAATGAAACTTGAGGCCCCCAATCCTTATATTATATACTCGAGAACAAACGAGATCAACAAATACATAAAGATAGGGGTGCTATCGAATCGAATCGAACTCAAGTAGCATCATACTTGAACTCGAACTCGATCACTGTCAATGCTACTCCAACTCGAGCTCAAGATTGAAGGAGCATGTAAATTTGAGGTTGAACTCGACTCGACATAATGCAAATTAAACTCGAGCTCGATTCGTTTGAATTCGAATAAACTACAAGCCTTATTAGGTCGAGCTTTTCTTTTCTTATTTTTAATTTTTTACATTTAGATTTATCAAATTACCATTTTGTCACATAATTAAAATATATAAATAATATAAATACTTGATTAAATCCATCGAATACTTTTAACTCGAACAAGTAGCTCGGACTTGAGCTTGAGTTTGATCAAACCAAATTCAAAGCCAAACTTTTAACTAAACCGTTCGAAACTACTTGTGAGTGGCTTGGCTCGCCCACGCCATACATAAAGAGATGCGTTTGCGCATTGACCTTGTAAGCATATTGTGAGGCTAAGGATAATGCAGTCAATAAAGTGTCGAAAAGATGATCAATTGACAATAACTGAATCTCTATTTCGAAAGAACTTATATTCATTACTATTTTTTTCTGATCAATTGAGGTACATAATTGTTCATGTGGAGTAGGGCTGCAAACGAATCGAGCCGCTCGTGAGCGGCTCAAATCAAGCTCGAGCCGGCTCGAGTCAAACTCGAGCTCGAGCTCGAACTCAGAATATTAAGCTCGTTAGCTCGCGAGCCGGCTCGTGAGTTTGGGTATATATATATATATATATTATTTAATAATAAAATTACGTATATTATATATTTTTTTTATTTTTTATTTTTATAGTAAAATTACGTATATATCCTTAATATTTTATTATTTATTAAGAAAAAATATATTATTTTATTTATTTTTTTTAAAATAAAATAATTATTTTTTATTGTTTTTCGAGCTCGAGCTCGGCTCGACTTGATTCGAGTCGAGCTCGAGTTCGAAATTTGCCGGCTCGTCGAGCTCGAGCTTGGTAAGATTTAGTCGAGACTCGGCTCGATTAGCTCAAAACTCGACTCGACTCGACTCGTTTGCAACCCTAATGTGGAGTATAGACCGTTTCAAAGAACTTATACGTCGCGTGACTCAAAATTTCTAATTGAATATGTTACTTAATTAGTACATGAAGCTATAATTGTCTCATATATTTGAGCCAAAAAATTAATTGTGCCCCTATTGTGTTCAAAAGCAGCAAAAGATTGACAATTCATAAAGCTTACGAGGACCCATGTTAATTTTATTTTAATAAGACCATATCTAGTTCACAATAGTGGAATCAATATCAGCTGTCAATAGATTGCAGTTGAATATTTCAATAACATTTGCAATCTAATCCATATCTAGAATCTGCAATACATATTAGACGTGTTCTTAGAAAACACAAACAAACAATGCAATTAGATAGTTAACTTATGACAAAGTAAAGAGATTCATGAAAAGAATTTGCTCTTAGGATGGAGATTAAATAAAATATAAACAAGAAAAAAGAAATTTCTTAGATGACATCTAACCGTATAAGCTCACAGCCTTCTTTTTTTTTTTTTTTCTAGTCTAGAGGAGTATTTTGGAATCACCCAAATTAATCTCCACACCGAGCTAAGCTCACCCCAAAAGTGCCCAGTAATGACAGCAAGTGAGGATCAAACCTAGGATCTTGGTGTAAAAACAGACGATCAGTCCCAATCGAGTTATCACGGCGTATAAGCTCAGCGCATTCAGCTGTGTACTTTTCTTTCATTTGGTAATGCGGAGTCAGACATATAGATTGTAAAGGGGCTACGATACTATACGTAGAAAATGTCATAAACTGAAACGTGAATTACCTAATAAGAGTGGAAGATACATAACATCCTTAGATAGAGTTATTATCTAAAATAATTATTCTCGAGAATGAGATTCAAGATAGGAAAATGGACTGTGTTTACGAATTACTTCTATAAATGGAATACGCTATGTCACGTGATTTCTAATTCGACTCATGTTATTTTCTCACAAAAACGTGCTAATTATAACCATGATTTGTTGATTTCTAATTCGTATCACGTTATTTTTTGCGCAAACACATGATAATTATAACCACAATTTATTTAAGTGCGTGCAAATTGATACGTTACTTTATAATTTTCATGAACAACTCTAAAGGTAAAAAGTTGACAAAAAGAAAAAAAAGTTCTTAAATTATATATAAAAAAAAGAGCAAAAGAAATATTCTACTTGTTATGGGATTTTGAACCTAACCAGTCAGGCTAGGGTAGGGAGGGGGGGGGAAGGTAAAATAAAATAAAATAAAATCTACCAACAGAGATTCCATCGTAGTACTAGTGAGTCAATTTTAAAAAAATGAAATTCTTTATGCTCATGAAATGACTTTGTTAAATATTTCCTCGATTTTAGGGAAAAAAATAAATAAAAAGAAATCCTCTATGCTCATGAGATGACTATTGATCCTCTATTTCAGAACCATTAAAGCCTCCTTAACCAAATCAAAGCTTGGCCCTAGGAGTGTGCATCTCTAATACTACTACGTATTTTGTGTGTGTAGAGTGTGAGTGAGAATACACAAAGGCCATTGTGTATGCTTTTTCCTCTGCAATTCTGTTTGTCGCTTCTGGGCTGTCCACGCCACCTATAAGGCTATAACAGCGGCAAAAAAGCTGTTAGTGGTTTTTTTGTTGCTGCTCCACATTGTTATGGCGTGGCTTTAGCCAAATACTACTGCTGCTTTTTAACCATATTAAAACCCATCACTTTCCTTGTACTGCTAGCATCACTCCTCTCTCTCTCTCTCTCACTCCCAAAACCCCAGAAAGATTGTCCCCTTTTTTGAATTTGTCTTTACCATCTCTCTCCTTGTTGAAGTTTTGTTCTTGAAAAATTCTAGCTTTTTTTTTCCGTAATTTTGTACTTTCTGTTTTTGTTGATATATGTAGTATCATATTTATAAATATTAGTTTAAGGGCGGTCATGATGTTTAGAGTTGAGGAAGAAAATGTTGATGGAAAAATGAAGGGGTCATGATGAATGAGACTTCTTATGCGAATCATGGTTTTCTTGAGAACAATCAGCCTACTATGCTTATGAGTAGTGGTCCATTTGTAGCCATGAATTCGGGGTTATTTTCTGGTGTGTTTGATGCTATTGATAATGGGTCATCGTCACAATCAACAGTCATGACCCCATTTAGCTTTGATGGTGGGATGCATCAAGAAAAGCTGAATTCTGCTGCTAGAAATATGGGTTCTGGGGTCTTTGAAAAGCCCAGTGGAGAGTCCATGTTGAATGTACCATACAATGCGGGATTATGTGAAAACTTTAGTAGAATGCATGTGGGGGATGAACAGAGAGATTACTGTAGTACTAGTAAGTTTCGGGTTGACCCGGATGGGTTTTTGGGTGGATTCAATGACCGTTTGTCAAATAGTGTTGTAGGATTTAGCAACCACCATGTTTATGATTATTCTATGGGGCTGGGACAAGTATGTGATGTCAAAGATTTTATGGGGCCTTCTCCTTTTCTGACAAACAGGCATTCTAATGCTTTATCTAGAGAGGACCAGGTAGATTATTATATGAGGCTGGTCAAAGAGCAGGGCGAGGCTTTTGCAACCAAGGAGTTCAAGGAAATAGAACTTCAATGGTGAATGGTAGGCCTTGTTTTGCTGACGATTTTTATGACACGCAGCAATGTGGAATTCTTGATTATAATGGCTTGGATTCTTCTCAGTTAAGTAATCCCATGTTGGAGATGGATTTAGCATATAAACTTCTGATGTTAAATGGAAATGCTAGAGGAATGCCAAATACTTGTGTTAATTTAGGTCGACCAATGTTTTCAGTGACAAATGCAGGGGAAGTTGGAGCTCCCGGTTGTGAAGATAGCTTCATTGTGGATGGTGCAGGGAAATGTTCGAAATTTGTAGCTGAAAAGAAATCTAATCGATCAAAGGGTGACAAGAAGAGTTCAAGGAATGAGGCAGTTATGTCAAAGTCAGGGAGAAAGATCTAGTTTTGGATTTTGTAATGCAATGCCAAGGTGTTTGTGCAAATAGCGCTGGGCATGCTCAATCACAACGCAAAGAATTATGTGAAGATGGTTTGAGGCCAAGGAACTGTAGCTCATTACCCGCACAGCTATACTATAGGTCACCAGCAGAGTTGCAAGGTTACATATATCCAATGTGCAAGCATCAGTTGGGTTGTCGGTTCTTGCAGAGGGTTTTTGACGAAGGAAATAGTCAAGATATTCAAATCATATTCACTGAAATTATTGATCATGTTGTTGAACTCATGGTTGATCCATTTGCAAACTACCTTATCCAGAAATTATTAGATGTCTGTTCTGAGGATCAAAAATTGGTGATTGTGCTTAAGCTGACTAATAAGCGTGGAGAACTTGTTGACATTTGTATGAACACACATGGGTAATCACATTGCCTTCTGCTCTAAGTGTTGTCTCCATTTCCAATTGAATTTTCTGTATTACGACCTAAAGTTCTAACCATCCTGATGGATATATTGACTCTCATTTTCAGTACCCGTGTAGTGCAAAAGCTGATAGAAGCCATCAAAAGCAGGCAGCAAATATCACTGATTATGGTAGCCCTGAAACCAGGTCTGCTTGATCTCATTAAAGACCAAAATGGAAATCATGTAGTGCAGAGATGCTTACAGTCCCTTACCATTGACCAAAATAAGGTAAAATCGCTTTCACCTAGTCAAAGTTTGCAGCGTTTTTGGGGATAGTAAACACTTCCTTTCTTTTATTAAATGATTTAATTAACATCATTGGACTAAACAAAATCTCATATTGTCAAGCTATGATACATGAATTTCAGTTTACCATTCTATTAATGCAATACAGTTCTTTAGTGAACCACTGAGTAACATCTGTCTCAGTTGAAAGCCCAGATTATCAAGTTTGGAATTTTGGAGAGTCTTCATTTATTTGGTCATCTGCAGCTGCTATTGCTTCTTTCCGTACCTGTGTTTTTGAAGTATGATACCTGTCTCTAGATTTTACTCCTCTGAGGTGCCATGTCTTCAATCATTCCTATTGATTGGTCTGTCTTTGGGATCATGTAGTACGAGTCTTCGAAATTAGTCTTAGGGATATCCATTTGCTTATTTTAGCAATTAAAAAGCCACTGATTTGTCAAGTTTGTTGGAGGTCTTCCATGGTAGGCTCGTTTAATTCCCTTCTATATCTAGTGTTTGTAAGTTCTACAATACACTCATGGTTCAAGCAGTTCTTGCCTGGTTCCTGCGCACTCATATGGCTATTACCATGGAAAGCACTAATTCAAGACTAAAAACATAATGAAATGAATCTGCCATTTGAAGCAGATGAGATTTTCTTTTTTACTTCAAATAGCACTAGAGGAGGATCATGGTGACAAGCACATTTTTATATGACTGAAAAAGCAGACATATCAAGTGTTGATTCCTTAATCAAATGCTTGACTCCTCACACCTTAATTTGGAGATCAAAAAATTAGGAAACTGAGAACCTGTGTAGCACAACATACCTATTAGAATCCGTAAATTTTCCCTGTTATCATGTTCTTTTATAAAGAATTAACTAGCTGTTGTTACAGTTCATATTTGATGCTGCTGCAAAGTTTTGTGTTGACATTGCATGCCATCGCCATGGGTGCTGTGTCCTGAATCGGTGCGTTGCTTATTCAAGTGGGAAGCATCGAGAAAAGTTGGTTTCGAGCATTTCCGCTAACGGGCTTCTCCTATCTCAAGATGCCTTTGGGTAGAAATCCTGAACAATGTTTTACTTTTCCTCTGATTGTTTTCAATCCTCTTTGTTTCATATTTTAAGGTGAATCTTTGCCGTTAATTGGTCTGTTACCATGATTGCAATGGGTATGTGGTCATGTCCTGGAGAAAGAAACAAAGCTTCCTTAGAGAGAGGATGATGATGATGGTAACTACTACATTGATGAGGTGAAAGGGAGGAATGAAAAGCAGTGTTCACATTTTCTCATAAAATTTGAATTATAGTGCACAATGAGAATGGGAAGTATGGGTCGAAATGGTGTATAGACTTGCTAGATTTCCTAGCTAATTTGATACAATATCCTATTAGTGGGCAAAAGGCAAGTAATGAATGTAATGCTTCCTGTTGGAGACAGAGAGGCACGAAATGAATATAGTGCTCCCTGAGCAAGAAAGTTTTGCAACATGGGAGTTGGTTCAGCAATATCTTATGGGTTTGGGATATGAAAATTTCCCCCATTCGATGGATCTAAATTCATGATTCCATATGACTAGTGTACTGCTGATAAGCATAAAGAGTTCATGTCTTGCTTTTGGATGCTTTCTGCTTCCCTTCTTTTCTTTTGTTTGTTTTTCAGTAAAGAGATCATTAATTTGGTTAATTGCTTGGATTGGAATTAATTGGAGCCCTGAATTTGTTTAAAGGAAAAAAAAAATCACTCTCCACGTGTTCTTTACAGAAACCATCATTTTGTTGATAAATTCCTGCCAAGCCTCTCATAATTTCTTCCATTATGCAATTCTTTGAACCTTTGCATGTGATGGTCCTACGTGTTTCCTTTATAATACATCTCTTACAGCTAAACATTGTACTGAACTTCTCCTTGTTGCAGAAATTATGTTATCCAATACATCATAGAGCTTAAAATTCCATCTGCAGCTGCTACCTTGCTTTCTCAGTTTGAAGGTCACTTTGTATTCTTGTCTATGCAAAAATTTAGCAGCCATGTTGTTGAGAAGTGCCTGCGATGTCTCAAAGATAGCCAGCCTAGAATCATCACAGAATTACTATCTGTGCGCCATTTTGATCAATTGCTTCAGGACCGATTTGCTAATTATGTCGTTCAATCTGCACTTGAAGCTACTAAGGTCTGTAATCAATCTCTAACATCTATCGTCTTTTGATGTTAATGTTATTTTGACTTGTTAGAAAATGAAATGGGAGACTTGCCTTTGAGCTCTTGCCAAAAGGTGGATCAATTATGAAGAAACATTGGAGACATACAAATTTCATAATTAGATCACTTTGATGCTGGAGAAGTTGCTTCTTGTATTGAATTTCTCAGTTTTAGCTGACGTTAACCACATTAATTCTTCATTCATTTGTCAATGAGCTGAATCCAGAATTATGCACCTTTTGTTGTTCTGCATCAGGGGCCTCTCCGTACTTTATTAGTTGAGGCAATCTGTCCTTACAGCGAAATTCTGCGCACCAGTCCCTACTGCAAGAAGATCTTCTCACGCAATCTTCTGAAGAAGTGATGTTGGAAATGGTGGTCAACTGCTGTGGTTTTTAGAAAAAATGCTACAAACTTTGTGAATAAGTGTTAAATCTCTTTTTGGTGTGGCCTTATGTATATTACCTGACCTCGTTTCCTTCATGTTCAAGTGTGGTGACAACTTCAACCTTAGCCTGAGAGAGAGTACCCAAACTTGTGACTCTTCCTTATGTTGTAGTGTTACTTGTCAAATACTTACATAGGAGATAATGCAGGCAACGAAGCTTCTGTTGTTACCTGTTCTGTATTTCTTTGGATAATGTTTTTTCCTTGCTTTTATTCAAACTAGATTGCTGCGGATTCTTCCCCCATTACGACTCTTCACATATTTTTTAATTAGGTTCATTTGATGATCTGATAGTCAATGCCATTCTGGGAAATGTTGGTAAAAACCATTGTAATCATTAAGTAGGTGAGTTTAAGCATTTCTGCCTGTTTAAAAGGGCATGAGACAGAAAAAGCAGAGGCTCAAAGTATAGCTTTCTTGTTGCAAAGCCAACTTCAGGACATATCTCTGTCGACCAGCAGAGATAAATGCTTCTCATGGGAACCAACCACATCTTCAAATTCGTCCTATTTTCTCTTTCTTCCTGTTTTTCTAATGGCCTGATTGAGGACCTTAACTTCAATAGGGCTGGATTGACTAATTGGCCTTTGACACTACGATATCTCTACTAAGTTGCTTTTGGGTGGACCACAACGTGTTAATGCAAATTTAATATAAGAAAATGTGGATGAAACTAAAATAGTTGAAGAGGACCCTTAATTGTTTAGTCTCTTGCCTGCTAAGTCAATTTTGTGGGACCAAATTTAAATTGATTATTGAAGCATTAATCTCTCGTCTGGAACAACAAACTTCCTGCCTGCCTGCTGTATTTCAATTGGGAACGTGATCTCACTGATTTCTGCCTGGTTAAACGACGGTCGGCAAAACATCAGAAGGGGAAAGATGGCAGATTTTGGACGAGTCAGACTTCAGATAAGATGACCCATCATCATCTCCTGCGTGAATTGCTGGAAGTGCAGGCCAGTATGGTCACCACAAGTCTCTCGTCTCATGACAGCTTATATTAGGCATTTGCTTCTTGTTTTTCTGGTCGTCAAACGTGAACATGAACTCCTACAGTAGATGAAAAAATTTGAGGGAAATATGACAAGAAGACCAGGACGAACTTTCTACTCAAGAGTCACCATTTTTTTGTACCTTTCCATTTTTCCGTTCTCTTTCTTGTTCTTCTGGATAGAAATTATCACCTTTTTCTTTTTAATTACCAACGGATTCTCCTACCAAAGATGCAAATTTTTTTTATTATTATCAAAGGACAAACGTGCAAGTACAGCTTCAATCTCCAGCATCCGAACATACAAGTTATATTATTGATGATGATAAATACTCGCAAACCAAAGCTCAACAAATCACACCACCACAATGAAGAACAGGGCAAACTAAGTTCTTGTTCAAGCGGGATAACAGGCATAACGCTAACAAGCGCATAGAACTTGACTGCTATTAGATTATTGATCTTCAAGCATCATCCTCACCAATCAGAGCAACAAGCATCTCTATCTCCGTGTGTGTCCTTGACAATGGCACGGTGCAGAGGGACACTGTTTCTCTTGTGATAAAGGTCCTTGATAATCTTCAAGTCGACCTCGGCCCTTGTAGCGACAATTCTGGTGAGAGCACCTTCATCAGTCCCCCTCTTGTTGATTGCTTCGCGAAGAACTTTCTCAAAGTAGTTCTCAGGGTAGACCAAACACTCAAAAGTGGCTTTTAATATAGGAAGGAACTCATTGTCATCGTCATGTTCCAAATCCTGCCAATTCCAGTTGGCAATTCAATAGATTTCAGATGATTTAACGTCTGATGTTGTTAAGATTATGTAACGCAGGAAATTCAAGAATCTACCAAAGAGATAATGTAATCGTCTCATACCTTGATTATATCACTACCAAACTCATTCTTGTATTCATTCAATGTTGCATTGACCTGTGCTTTGCTCCTTGTGGCCACAATTCTAATTACATCATCATCACTGTAATGCTTCCCCTTAATCTTCTCATGGAGTATCTTAGCCTCTGACTTTGCAAGGCGCAAGTTTACCTCATCACCTTCATACCTATATGAGCTGACTAGCGGCAACAGGAGCTGTAAAACAAAATACACGAGATAAGTAACCCAAATATTCACATATTTGTCCAGTACATTTTACATTATACAGAATCTAAAACTCAAATACCTTGGGGTGCAAATAAGTATCATGTAACCAAGGCAACTGCCAAAATTTCTCCTAATGGACACTACTCTCAATATGCCATATCCTACAAGTTCAAGCAGCACTGGATATCTACTCAGAAATGAAACAGAAATGCTAGTATACATACAAGTAACAACTTACTCTCATGCAAGTCATCACTTAGCCTATCACTTTCACCGATGGATAAACTGGTTCCATTTATTTGGATGAAACACAGAAGCTTGAAAATGGGAGATATTACATTTATGTACTTCACAAAGCAAAAGCTTCAGAAAAAGATGCATCAAGTAAAAGTTTTGAAGCGTGCAGACTTAATATAATGAAACCAATACAAAAACAATACCCTTGTGCTGGTTTACCTTACGAAAGTCCCCAGTTGTGTGATATGCAACATCCTCTTCAAGGGATCTCTTAAAACGAGAATGATAAGCTTCCCTGACCAAAATCAATCCTTTTGACGGCCTTGTACAAGCTATCTCCACAAGAACCTGATTGCTTTTTGTCCATTTCTTCGTAGCTTCATCGGTCAAAACTGCATCACGTTCAGGAGGGTCCAATGTCCAAAGCAGAACCAACCTCTAGTAAGAATAACGAAGAAATATATTAGCCCTTATTCTTCAGGCAAAGATTGCTTCTTTGTATTGATAGAATGATCATGAACATACTGATCTTCAATAAAACAAAATAAAAAAAATATCATCTAAAAGGAATTATGATTACACATTGTCATTAATTAGTGGAAACCATATGCCAGTAAAAAGCAAAAGTTGTAAATCAACCTCAAAATCGCTGGAAAGCTCCTTGTCTAGGTCTTTGAGGAGATCTTTCCCATAAGTCTCAGCATAAGCATGTCGAATGGCCTTACGCTGGCCGGCATTCCTATGAGCCAAAATTGATATACTCAAACGTTCATTTGTTCCCCATCCTGCAAAAAAGTTGCCACTTTAATCAAGCAGACCAAAAACCAAAAAACAACAATTCAAACCCGTAATGAAGCAAGAGAAGAAGATCGTCCTAAGCAAACCATCAAGTGATCTACAGAGACCTGTTTGTGTTACATTGATTAAAATACACCTGGAGCGTAATAGCTAAGAAAGAAGCAGATCAAGGTCCTCTCATGCTAAGAAATAGTTCAGAATCCACTGCAGTACTGTCAAGATCTTATTGATCAATGATGTCTTCAACGTCCAAGAAAAGCTTAGCAAAAGCTGCGCGAAAGATAAACTTTTAAGTAGATCACATCCTAAACGTCTATAAGTTCACATGATACCTGAAGTACTTCATTTTGAGTTGGATCAGAAGACTTAGAATTCTATTTCACCCGTAGAAGCTGTATATATTCATCAAGAAACAGAGGCAGCAAGTAAAGTACTCGAGAAAATGTCGACAATCATAGAGCATCACAAGGTTCAGGAATCAGGGAAAAAAAACATGAAAACCGTTTCGCTATAAACGAGATCACACCTAATCGCGCTGTATATGAAAGATTACAATGATCAGATCAGCTGATCACCGAGACACTCAAAGAACAAAACACATTTCTGCAGGCCATCCAAGATGGTCACATATAAAACTAACAAAAGACTGAATCTTTGCACAATGTCCTTAAACAAGAAAACCCAAAAAAGACCTCATAGCAGAAGCGCAGAAAAGCATTGATCTTGATCTTCAAGTAATGATTAAAATCGCAATGATCATAAAAACCAAACCAAAAAAAAAAAGGAAAAAAAAAAGAAGTCTAGCACCTTCAAAGGCTTTGTGGAGTTGTTCACAGTCTTCAGCAACAGACGGGACATGGGGTGGCACGATCAGAGTAGACATTGCTGGTATTGTGAAGAGAATGTGAAGTGCGAAAATTGGAGTGTTGACGGTGTGAGTGTGTGTTTGTGTGAGAAGAGAAAGGTGCTATTTTAAGACGAATGAAAAGATATGGATGGACCGTTCCCGTTTGTTGGAAAAAAAAAGGAAAAAAGAAAAGATATGGATGGAGATTGCAGGTTTCAATTTTTTATTTTTTCTGATTTTTTTTTCTCCATTCGCCACATATATCAATACGTGTTTCAATCAATTTATTATAGGCGCATGGGGTCCACATCAAATCTCTTCGATAAACTTCTTTTTGTCCTCAAATACCAATTTTCAATCAAAGCAAATAAATACGAAAGAGAAAGAGGGTAGATAAAATTAAATAAAAAATTATATAAATTTAATGAAGGATAATAATCATTAATATTTATATAAATATAATAAATTAGGTGAATTTTAAATATATTAAAAAGTATTCAATAGATACTCGTAAGAAAGAACCTTATATAAGAGACGAATTTTTTAATGTGAATCGAAAATGATAACATATTGTGGACCATTTCTATCAGAAAAATTCAATCAATTGACTTCGTCAATAAATAAATAAATTGATGAATGATATGTTTTTGAGGCAAAGGCCAAAGAAAAAACTCCTAGGGTTGTTAACATGATTACATGTTCATATTGCAAAGTCATAGTTACGTTGGTAAATTCTTATAGTTTTCATTTTTTTTGGATACAATTATTAAAATGGGAATTAGTATCCAAATTGCTTTTATATACCGCTCAATAATTATGGTTTCAAGGTCATTAGAGCAATAATAAGTCCTTGGAATATTGCCAGGAGATATAAAATACTTTAGCTACAATTTTATTTCTAAAAAAGGAAAAAGAAAATTGCATATTTTTCTTTCAAACTTTTTATTCTTTCCCTTCTTCAAAAAAAATAGCAGCAGTAGAATAAATATAACAACGTCTAATTGTCCTCAAGAATCCATGCTCTACTATCAAGGCTCTATTTGACACGAAATATAATAAGTGCAAATGGTGTGAGAAGATTTGTTGCTTTATTTCAGGGAAAATACCACAACTATTTAATATATTCATTAATTATTATAATAAAAAATTGTATTGGAAATGAGATAAAAAAATAAATAATTTCACCAGAAAATGTGGGATTGCTGGCAACTGAGCGGTCATCCAACAAGTGGAACGGAAATTCTAGTACATCGGATCTTGAATTCGTGCATGGATATTCCGGGAATTAGGTCCCACATTTACCTAATGCCACGTTTGAGCCATGATTGCTTTCCACCTTTGCAGTCCCTTGTCCTACTTCTTTATGTTGTAATGGCCCATTTGAGGGCCTTAATTATCGGGTAATCAGTGATGAGATTCAAAGCACGAAATTATTAGGTTATTGATCTTTTCAGCTTCCTTCTTATCCCTTCTTTAATTGATCTTCATTTGATCCTAGAAGATGTGAATGCAAATGTAAAACTTGAAAGGAAGTTAACAGGATGGAATCTTAATCGGTTTAGTTGGAAAGTGGAAAGAGCTTATAAAAATAACGGAAACATTGAAAAAGAAAAAAGAAAAAACAGTGGGATTGGTTCAAGTTCTACATTTTTTTTTCCTTTGATAAACATGATAATTAGTATTTTGAGAAATCAAGAAGGGGGTTCTAAAACTTTTGGAGATTATCTCATTTTAGAAACTTAACGTTTGTTTTTGCTTTTATGTGCAAGATGAGAAATGTTTTCTTCGCCGATTATTGGGTCTGGTTAGGATTGTTATTTCTTGGATTTTTTTTTTGTTAAAAAATATATTGTAACGATTTGATATATGTGAGATAAAAATGCGTTCATAAAAAATGTTACTAAAATTTTGCCTTGGATTGCTATTTTCTTCACCGATTATTAGTTGCCTCCTATAGTTTTGTAGTGATCAAGAAATAATTCCATCACCTATCTTTTGGATTGCTATTCCTTTTGTTAATACTTGCAAAAAAAAAAAAAATAGAAGAAACAAAAGAAGTTAAAAAGTATTAACTAGTCAGTGTTGCCGGCAGAGTGACCTTTTTCACTCCTCCTCGTACTCTTTGGAGTAAAATTTTCATTCACCAACTATACTTTTAATGTGGATGCCGATTAAATCTCTCGGGATTCCGTGTATAGCCATAACAACCATAAATTTGTACTGTCAATGCAGACAAAGCCAATTTATTGACTGGCAGGTCGCAATTTGCTATGGATTGCTGTCCAATATCGACACATTCTCAATTAAGTGAAGAAATTTGTGATTATTTATTTGTACCCAATAGATCCAAAGCCACAATTTTGAAGATCGGAAAAAGAGCCCTCTTTTTGCAAAGTGCTAACTAAATCCTGAGGGCATGTAATGTATTGTACAGTTCTGAAGATCTTATGCTCATTCAAGCTACATGGGTCATTTATGCTTTAATGCTCTAGTCCCTCTAATTCTTCTTCAACAATCCTTGTCAGATCTGCTATCCGGGCTGCACTATTTTCCACTACACACAGGAAAAGAGTAGGAGACAGTTAATTGATAAAGAGCCATATAGAAAGAAAAGAATCTGAAAAGAAAAGTTTTTATGCCTATTTTTAGTTGTTACTCACCATGATGTTGCAGAGATTGAGCACCCTTGCTAACGACTCAGAAACAATGTGCATTGTTGGCCTGGATTTTGGATTAGCAGCCACACATCCCCTTGCAAGTTTGATAATGGATACCAGAACCTCTTCAACCTTTTTAGTTGGACGCGAAAGCCGTTGGTCTAAGAAGTCTTCCAGTTGTAAGTTTCCAGGTGAAGCACACATAATTTGGGATATGTAGTCACCCGGATGCTCTCCTTTGATTACTTCCAGGGCCAGTATCCCAAAGCTGTACACATCACATTTTTCAGTCACTTCCATTGTGTAGGCAAACTCTGCGAGGGAAAGATCATGTCATGAGTAAGAACTTGTAATTGTGCTCTAAAGTTACCTGCTGCTGGATTAAGAGAAAAGATGGTCAATTACCTGGTGCAATATATCCATATGTGCCTGCTAGCGCGCTCCAATTGGATGAATCTTTCTTCAGTAGCTTTGCAGTGCCAAAATCAGAAACGTCAGCCTCATCTTCTGAATCAAGAAGAATATTCTTGCTCGATATGTCTCGATGAACTATTGGTGGTGAACAATCATGATGCATATAAGACAGAGCGTAGGCTACGCCCTTAACGATGTTCACCCTTTTCTGCCAATCCAATTTCTTAGCTGCTTCTTCTTCTTTGCTCAAAATGTCTGCCAAGCTGCCTCTTTCGAGGTATTCATAAACCAACATTGAGTGTTTGGAATCTGAGCAGAAACCATAAAGTTTTACAATGTTTCGATGTCTGATATTCGTCAAGGCCCTTATCTCATTCAAGAAACCATTTCTATCTGTCATCTCAGATGATTGATGAAGTTTCTTTACAGCTACTACATCGGCTGATGGAAGGTTTGCCTTGTAAACACTCCCGTAACCTCCCTCTCCAATACAAAATGTTGCATTGAAGTCCTCTGTCGCTTTTAAAATCTGCTTAAACATCTCTCTGCCATCAAATATGGCTACGGAGTAGAAGCCGTCTTCATCCACATCTGTATCTTCAGCTCTCTCTGTCTCTTTCTTCTATAGCATAGAAGGAAGGCTCCAGCAAACGCACAGAAAAGTAAAAGTGATCCTAAAAGAGGGAGCAAAATTATGAGGACAAGTTTCTGACCCTTGTGCGTCTTATGCTTTCCTTCGACAGGAGGACTTTCACAAGGTTGTAATCCTGTAATATTTCCGCACAAACCTTTATTCCCCTGTACTTGTTCTATCGTGAAATTTGCAAATGCTCTGCCGGGCGGAACAGGACCCTCTAAATTATTGAAAGATATGTCAATGTGCGTGGAACCAGGCAGTTCATCCAAATCCTGTGGAATGAAACCAGAGAGATTATTATGGGAGAGATCCAACAGTCCTAGACTTTGCAGATTTCTAAACAAAGATGGTATCTCTCCTTCAAGAAAGTTGTGACTAAGATCCAGGGAAGAAAGTGTAATTAAGTTTCCTAACTGAGCAGGTATATTTTGGTTCAAAGGTTGCTGCTCAAGTTCAAATAGAACAATTGCTTGTAGTTCACTAGAGTTTCTGGTATTGAGCCATTCAATGAGTTTGAAGAAAGGTCTAGACTGAGTAGTTGATCTAGTGATCCCATTTCTTGAGGTATGCTGCCTGATAGTTGATTATCTTGCAAAAATAAATTTAGCATAGATCTTAGCTTCCCAAATTCCATTGGAATCTTCCCAGTTAAGTGGTTGGAGGAAAGATTAAGTACACCTAGTTGAGCTAAATTTCCTAATTCGGGAGGTATAGGACCCGAGATGTTGTTTTCTGCAATCTTCAGAGTACTCAAGTTTCGACATCTTCCCCAATTACCAGAGAGTTCTCCATGGAAATTGTTGTTGCTAAGATCCATGAAGTCCAAGTGTGGATAGACCCCAAACATCTTTGAGAGGTTTCCAGTGAGCTGGTTCCCATTGAAGACAGCTCTAAGTAAACTTGTGCAGTTCTTCAAGCCTCTAGGAATTGGACCTGTAAGCATGTTGTCATTTACAGTGAAGTTTCGAAGCACTCCACTTTCGCATAGCTTATCGGGCAAGTGACCAGAGAACTGATTTTCAGACATGATCATAGCAACCAACTTTGTCAAGTTTCCAAGCTCTTGGGGAATAGGACCAGAAAGATGGTTTCTGCGGAGATACAAATACTGCAAGTTACTCAAGTTACCTAGTGTAGCAGGAACGGAAGCACTTAGCAGATTATCGGCAAATTCTAGATCCTCGAGAAGTTTCAGATTGCCCAACTCCTTGGGAATTGAACCAGAGAGTTGATTGCCATATAGGTGCAGGAGAGTCAAACTGGCTAGATTGCCTAGTGATGGTGGGATTGAGCCACTTATACTGTTACTGAATAAACTCAGACTATGCAGTGATGTTAGATTCCCTATCTCAGGAGGAATGAGACCAGTGAGTTTATTGCTGTAAAGATGCAAGACCTCTAGTTTGTTCAAGTTTCCAAAGGAGGGTGGAATAGGACCTGGTAACTGGTTTCTGTACAGGTAAAGCTCAACAAGATTGTAAAGAAGTCCTAATTCAGGAGGAATGGGGCCAGAAAGCAGATTGTCATAGAAATACAAGTAAGTCAAGTTTTTCAAATTGCCCAAGGAAGCAGGAATAGGGCCATCAAGATCGTTAGTGGCCAAAGCCAGATCACTTAGAGACCTTAATTGCCCTATCTCCTCAGGAATTGAGCCATTTAACTCGTTGGCATTTAAATGAAGGGTTTGGAGATTTTTCAATCGTCCAATTTCACGTGGGATAGTATTTGAAAATAGATTGCGCTGCAAGTCAAGATACAAGAGCTTGGAGAGGTTACCTATCTGAGGTGGTATGCTGCCGGAAAGATCATTCAGGGTCAGATCAACATATTCAAGATTTGGGAGGGATGAAAACGGAAAGTTGTAAAGAGTACCATTGATACTTGAGTTTGTGAGGTTCAACCAGTTGACACTATGAATGCAAGAGACACCATACCAAGTGCAGGGGCTGGCGATTTCTTTTCGAGAATGAGAAGAATTCGCAGCGTTTGGCGGAAGAATCCATGAAGATAGCAGGGGATTATCCGGGTTCTGAAAACTTGCTTTCCATTTAAGAAGAGCCTCAGCTTCTTCAACAGAAGCTGATGCACTTCCCAGGAAGCAAAGGAATGAGGTTAGAACTATAATGATCATGGTTACTATGTTAATGTGTAAATTCAAGATGGCTCAAAGTGTTGCTCAAAAATAAGATGGCTCAAAGTGGACATTTAAATGAAAAAATGAAAATAGTCCCCTCACATACGCTCGTTGTTTGTATTTACTTTGGGGAGTTGGTAGAAAATGAAAGTTGTAATCAATTGGTTGCATTATTTTTGTAAATTAATGAGGCCAAGAAAATAAGAGTAGACTTGACATACTTTCTTGTTTGCGTTTACTCTCGGGATTGGTAGAAAATAAAAGTTGTAACCAATTGGTCACATCATTTTTGCAAATTAATGAGGCCAAGGAAACAAGGGCAAGCTTGACATACACTCGTTGTTTGTGTTTACTTTTGGGATTGGTAGAACATGAAAGTTGTGACCACTAGGTTGCATCATTTTTGTAAATTAATGAGACCAAGAAAATAAGGATAGACTTGACATGCTCTCATTGTTTGTGTTTACTTTCGAGAATTGGTAGAAAAATAGTCGTCGTTTGTGTTTACTTTCGGGAATTGATAGAAAATGAAAGTTGTAACCAATTGGTTGCATCATTTTTGTAAATTAATGAGGCCAAGAAAATAAGGATAGACTTGACATGCTCTCGTTGTTTATGTTTACTTCGGAGAATTGGTAGAAAAATAGTCGTCGTCTGTGTTTTCGGGAATTGATAGAAAATGAAGTTGCAAGCAATTGGTTGCATCATTTTTGTAAATTAATGAGGCAAGAAATAAGGGTATAGACTTGACATACTTTTGTTGTTTGTGTTTACTTTCGGGGATTGGTAGAAATAAAAGTTGTAACCAATTGGTCACATCATTTTGCAAATTAATGAGGCCAAGAACAAGGTAAGCTTGACATACACCCGTTTTTGTGTTTACTTTCGGGGATTGGTAGAAATGAAAGTTGGACCAATTGGTTGCATCATTTTTGTAAATAATGAGACCAAGAAAAAAGCGTAGACTTGACTGCGCATAGTTTTCACGCAGAGCTAGAATTTAGTAATATATGAGAAAATTGGCATTTTCGAACTGAAGAATTAGTGTTTGAGCAAGGACTTAGTTATTTCTCCGTAAAACTTATCAAGTCTAGCATGAAAGGCAAGTTTTATCGCGAAAAGTAACAGATATGTCATGAAGTAGCGAGTTTTCTCATAATTATGGTAGAATTGGTTTTTTGTCAATTGCTTATTTATTTATTTATTTTTTTGTGGTGATAATTAGTACCATAATCTAAGAATGTAATAGTTCAACTGGCTATTTACAAAACTTAGACGTAGATTTTGGTGCCTTGAAAAACTTCAAAGTCATAGCTGCATTTTCGTTGTTCACACGCTAATTAAGACATTTCCTACATGAATGTGCATATGGTTTTCTTCAGAATCTTCTAATGAAGTAAGCCTTTCCAGGCATGAATGGAGGAATTTTGGCTTGCAAAGTGGGCCTGCTTTGATTCATTGAATTGGTAATTCTACAGCCAATGATGTTCATGGGCAAATACACAAGGCTGTACACCAGCTTTGCCATCTTCAGATTTAGCAGCAAATGAACACTGGTAGAATAGAGATCGTCAGACACTCTAGAATTTGACACCAATGAACTATGACAGAGTCAACCAAAGTCATAATATCAATCTGGAGCTTTTCATCTTCAAAATAAAATATTCTACATCTTTGTCCGAAATTTGACATGAACATGTTTTAGTTAAACCATTTATTGGAAGTTAAAGTTACCACATAATGGGGTATTTGTGTAGAAAGATTTTACTTTGACATAAAATATTATTCAGAATATTTATCCAAAACTTGACTAAGAAAAATTGGCGGACTTGATAATTGTTGCTTTCATGGCTCCATCAGCAACATCAATTTGGTTTGAAATATTCCTACCCTTGACTTCCATCATAGATGGACACGATTCGGTCAAACTAGAGGATGAGTACAAAAACAATAGCAAAATAACTTAGAATGAAACCTTGACATTGTATCGAGGCACTTGGATGGTTAGTTAGTTTGCTACATTTAAAAAAAAAAAAAAAAAATTTTTTGGTAGAAGGCTGCCCGCTGCCGTGCATAGTTAGCATGGTAGCCTCAGCGATTAAAAAAAATTTTCTTGCTATGTTGACTGGGCACGGCAAATATAGTTTTGTGCAATGCGTTTGTCAACATATATTTGACGGACTTTTTTTTGGGTGTATATTCTGAGAAATTAGCCATTTTTAGTCGGAATAATTTCAAAAATCTCTCTTGAGGTTTGTGACTATTTTACTGATCTCCCTCTAAGTTTTAAAAATTACACTAACTTCTCTTGAGATTTATTATCTTCTAATATTTAGGTTCAACCAATAATTAAAAAATGATATTAGAGAGAGAGAAAATAATGATTCCACTATTGCCTCTCATCTACTAAATTGTTTAATTAATCTAATACCAGTCCAAACATTAAAGAAAACACTAGAATTTAGTGTTTATCATCAAAGATTAAATCACATATAACATGAGAAATAGTATATCATTCTATATATTTCACTTAATGTAAGATCAAATTTGATCTTTTCAGTTACAAATTCATTGTCAAACATAATCAATAACAAATAATCAAAAAAATCTGTAACCAAAATATTACAAAGAGTTAATTTTAATATCATAATAATCTCAGCTACTAACCTTAATATGTTGAGAAGAATGTTTATAATATTAAAGTTTGTTCTTTGTAATATTTTAAATATTATAAGATGATTAATTGTAAGGGAGGTTGTGCAATTTGAAAAATATGGAATGAAAACCTCCCTGAGCTTTCTAAAATTATCGAATATAAATTTCATAAAATTTGGCCTATTCAAAAGTTAAGAGTCCAACATAAAATCGTTTCATTGAAAATGTGCTCGTCTGACCTGTACCGTAAATTGGTTCTTTGTGGGTCCCCCTTAGATTGCTTTAGGGCCGATCTTCGATTAACTCCTGCGTTTGTTTAAATTAGGTAGGTGTGTGTGGGTTATTTATCTTTTTTTTTTTTTTTGTCAGCAACGATACATTTGTATAATCTACTCTATCCTAATCTAGGGGGAGGGGGAGACTAAGGAGGCTGTTGTAGGGGCTAGTGGGTATACAGACCCAACTAGACCAAGGGAGTACTATGACACAACCCTTAAATTTTTTTCGTTACTGAACCCTCACCAACAGCCCAAGGAGGGACTTAAGTCCCTCCCTGGTGGTTGGCCCAGTGGTTGTATGTGGGTTATTTATCGATTTCGGAAAAAAAAAGACCCGTACCATAAATTGGGTCCTCTACCGTACGGTCGATATAAAGTTACCTGCTGCTGGATTAAGAGAAAAGATGGTCAATTACCTGGTGCAATATATCCATATGTGCCTGCTAGCGCGCTCCAATTGGATGAATCTTTCTTCAGTAGCTTTGCAGTGCCAAAATCAGAAACGTCAGCCTCATCTTCTGAATCAAGAAGAATATTCTTGCTCGATATGTCTCGATGAACTATTGGTGGTGAACAATCATGATGCATATAAGACAGAGCGTAGGCTACGCCCTTAACGATGTTCACCCTTTTCTGCCAATCCAATTTCTTAGCTGCTTCTTCTTTGCTCAAAATGTCTGCCAAGCTGCCTCTTTCGAGGTATTCATAAACCAACATTGAGTGTTTGGAATCTGAGCAGAAACCATAAAGTTTTACAATGTTTCGATGTCTGATATTCGTCAAGGCCCTTATCTCATTCAAGAAACCATTTCTATCTGTCATCTCAGATGATTGATGAAGTTTCTTTACAGCTACTACATCGGCTGATGGAAGGTTTGCCTTGTAAACACTCCCGTAACCTCCCTCTCCAATACAAAATGTTGCATTGAAGTCCTCTGTCGCTTTTAAAATCTGCTTAAACATCTCTCTGCCATCAAATATGGCTACGGAGTAGAAGCCGTCTTCATCCACATCTGTATCTTCAGCTCTCTCTGTTCTCTTTCTTCTATAGCATAGAAGGAAGGCTCCAGCAAACGCACAGAAAAGTAAAAGTGATCCTAAAAGAGGGAGCAAAATTATGAGGACAAGTTTCTGACCCTTGTGCGTCTTATGCTTTCCTTCGACAGGAGGACTTTCACAAGGTTGTAATCCTGTAATATTTCCGCACAAACCTTTATTCCCCTGTACTTGTTCTATCGTGAAATTTGCAAATGCTCTGCCGGGCGGAACAGGACCCTCTAAATTATTGAAAGATATGTCAATGTGCGTGGAACCAGGCAGTTCATCCAAATCCTGTGGAATGAAACCAGAGAGATTATTATGGGAGAGATCCAACAGTCCTAGACTTTGCAGATTTCTAAACAAAGATGGTATCTCTCCTTCAAGAAAGTTGTGACTAAGATCCAGGGAAGAAAGTGTAATTAAGTTTCCTAACTGAGCAGGTATATTTTGGTTCAAAAGGTTGCTGCTCAAGTTCAAATAGAACAATTGCTTGTAGTTCACTAGAGTTTCTGGTATTGAGCCATTCAATGAGTTTGAAGAAAGGTCTAGACTGAGTAGTTGATCTAGTGATCCCATTTCTTGAGGTATGCTGCCTGATAGTTGATTATCTTGCAAAAATAAATTTAGCATAGATCTTAGCTTCCCAAATTCCATTGGAATCTTCCCAGTTAAGTGGTTGGAGGAAAGATTAAGTACACCTAGTTGAGCTAAATTTCCTAATTCGGGAGGTATAGGACCCGAGATGTTGTTTTCTGCAATCTTCAGAGTACTCAAGTTTCGACATCTTCCCCAATTACCAGAGAGTTCTCCATGGAAATTGTTGTTGCTAAGATCCATGAAGTCCAAGTGTGGATAGACCCCAAACATCTTTGAGAGGTTTCCAGTGAGCTGGTTCCCATTGAAGACAGCTCTAAGTAAACTTGTGCAGTTCTTCAAGCCTCTAGGAATTGGACCTGTAAGCATGTTGTCATTTACAGTGAAGTTTCGAAGCACTCCACTTTCGCATAGCTTATCGGGCAAGTG